ACCCCCCACACACCCCCCCCCCCCCCCCCCCCCCGGCTACGGGCCTGCTATAGACATCCCTTGCAAGGGCCTTTGTTCCATAGCTCTTATACAGTGTACCAGAGTCAATCATATTAAAGGTACCACTCTTATTGTTCTCCCCCATATGAGCAGTCAGTGAATACCTCTGTTAAATGAACTCGTGGGATTATTGTACAAGATTCAATCAGTGTTCCACACGCATACAACTACAAGCAGGCCCTCTGCGACTGTTCAAACTGGGCGTGCCGTGCGCACAAACTAATTTAATATCTCTCTGCTACCGATATCCGCGCACCCTCTTACAACATAATAGTGCACCTTGGTGATATCTTATATCTAATGTCGCCATCACTCCCACACAATATGGTTTAATGACAACGACGGTGGTCCACCCCCACGACAAATGATAGAAGACGCGATTACGATGAAAAATAAAGCTGAGTGTGTAGGCAGCCTTAAATGAACAGTTATGTGACCGCTGAGAGTTATCGGTCACCTACTTTAGCCTATAGCAAGTCCCTCGATATTATTTCAAACTTTTCCCATAATCGCCAGTGTAATTAATGTTTACAGATTTTGTTTAAAAAGTTTAAGTGAATAAATATTGAAGAACGTTCAATGAAAGTATCAGTCTACGTAAATCCATCCTATCCTGCGGGGACTCTTGCTGAATGCAGTCACATTAACAAATTAACACGCGTCCTGTATAATGTACTCGTATGATCACCAGCTTCTCTGCGTTCTACTCAGTGTCTAGATGAGGTATATTGATATCTTAGTCTAATTGTATTCAGCGAGATTTCCCTTGGAGTTGGAACGATAGAACGATAGTGTAATTGCAAATGAGCTGTAAAACTGGCCCTCGCTTAAAAAAAGGCTGCGGGGGGGGGGGGGGGGGGTTATTTTTACTTTAATTACAAATTCACTTCCAACAACGCCCCTACCGGAATGATTCCCTTTAAATGGGAGATGTGTCGGGCATGGTAGTCCTAGTATAGGAATGGAAGTCCAGGGTCCATAAGATTAGTACAAGCTAGGGTTAGTTGGAGTATTGGGATTAGTATATGAGACGAATGTCACCTGTACAAATTAATGGGGAACGGACTACGGTTCCTAGCAGACTGCCATTTTTGTCAAACCTGGGTCCGTTTAGGGCTCTGTCATAAGTAAAAGCCTTTAAATCAACTTAACTCTTAAATTGTCTCTTAACACAAAGCATTTCTATACAGATAAATGTAAATGCCTTGGACAATAATATCGTCTCTCAACAACAATAGGTGCCTTCGACAATATAAGATTGACTTGGAATAATTTATGTTTCCCATTTTATCTGATAGCGATCTTACTCGTACGCTGAATTACAGGTGACTAACAATTCCAAGTGTAATGAGAATATGGAAATGATATCTGGTATATCTCACTGTAATATGCGTAATGCAGGATCCCGTATCTCGAAAGCATCGCGTATTGCGAATCGCTATATCAAAAAGAGGCTACAGTGTATTATATGGGACGAGTATGGGAGAGTTATGGGATTGAGACGCTTGCGCACGTGCGCAACATAGCGAAGCTTTCGAGATACGGGGCCCAGGACTGCTTACCTGGTAATTAAAATATGTAATAACTCCAGCTTCTGAAGAATTATGTGGAGATAGAAACTCGGGAGAGTTGATAAACGGTAGCTGAAGGGTAGAATGCTAGTGGGACAGTGAACAGTGAAAAAACAAACCAAGTACTGTCAGAACAGACCTTGCATAATTTGGTGCAAAGTTTCTATTAAAATTATAAAAAAATGTATAAATGTATAAATGTTGTTATCATAACCTTGCAAAGATGCCCAAAAGGTAGCATTTTACCGTTAGTTAAAATATTTCTATTAGTAACTTAGCTTGTAAATCTTTCCATTTTGAATTTTACTACCTATTTTAGGTACAAATTTATATTAAAAAACAAACTTGTCAAATTATGCTTTTGCTTCATTATTCCACTTTGCTTCTTTGCCTCATCCCATGCCAAGGTGCAAATTATGGATCCTAGCTTTATTATTGTTTTAACAACGTACTGTATGGATGTTCAGTGTATGACTGTGGTTCTTTATAAAAAGTAAATAAATAATGGAGAGATGGCAGATGACGTTTAAAATTATTATTAAAAATATTATACGTCTGTCAGTTTGAAAACGTCTGGAGATGTGACACGGGTGCGAATACACACACACGCGCGCGCGTGCAAATACACGTGTAATGTCAAGCATTGTTTAACTACACCGTTGTGTGTTTTATGTTGTCTTAAATTTCGTTTTTTTTTCTCAAATGACAGGTGCAGACGACATATGAAGCAGCAGCATGCAACAACGTTTTCAAGTCACGTGATAAAAGTCCTCTTCAAAAACAGGATTTTTTTCTATAAAATTTCGTTTTGATAACAACACGTAAAAAACTCATAATCTCAACGCCAACCATAGGGATAAACCACATTCGGTCTGTGTGGAAATAAGTAAGTGTCCATCCTCCCCCTACCACGACGACCCTGCATACCAGATCTTATCAAGACAGTCAGTGTGCAAAAGTCGACAATTACTACACTCGGTTTGCGTGTGGCTCTGCATCTGTAGCTTCCTACCCAGTCTAACCAAGTCCGCCATATAAAGAAGACCCTGCCGACGTGAGGAGGGATTTAGTATAAACAAACAGTTCAACGTTACGTCGTGACGTCCAGTTCAGGACAGTAACGTTAACATGACGCTGACGTCGCGTGTGATTGTAACGCTTTGTATATTTCTGCTGATCTCGTTAACTGAACGGCGGTCTCTAGCCTCAGGTAAGTCAATTATACAACCCTTTAAAGGGAACTTATTCATACTGCTATTAATTAAGGGGTTTCAGACGACCATTAGGGAGAAGGGGTCCTTATGCTTCTTGCTATATTACTTTTAAGTCTAAATCCTTCGTTTTTTGCTTCTCATTCCACACGTGTCATCACGTCTTCCCTGTGTGATACAGAGGCGATATAAGGGGAAATACATCAGTGTCTGCTGTGGAGTGAGAGTTCTACGTCCACTTCAGTAGTGGACATAGTCAAGGACCGCAGAATATTACTGGTCACGAAATTCAGAGACCTTGATTTCTGTTACACCGGACCCCGACCTTTGGATAAGTCTGGTGACTAAGAGGAACGTACATGTACATGTACGAACCATAGTCTTAAAGTCGTGTAGAAATGCTTCTTAGGTTTTTTTTCTTTTAAATAGCAAATTTCTTCTTTCTCTGTAAAGGTCCGGCGTTGACTTTAACTTCAGTCCATGTTCTGTGATTTTGATCAAGAGAAGTTCTCCTTTTCTGCTCTAAAGTTCGCGGGTTAGGTTCACATTAAACCTTTTTCTTAAAGGGTTGTCCAACTTTTTAACTTAAAAGTTGGTTATTTTTCAGTTCGGGATAAATCAGCAGTAGTGAACCATGTCAGAATAAATTGGTCTGGTCTACAACACAAGTCATATTTTTTCCAGTCATAAAACTGGCTTAATATTACCTTGAAATGGTTTTCTATTGAATTATTATCGGTCACGGACAGTGATAATAATAATGATGATGATGATGATATTTAATATGCGAGACATCGTACTAGAACAGTAGGTACATTTTTTTCGGCTCTCTATACTACGTTTGATATAATAATAATAATAATAATAATAATAATAATAATAATAATAATACAAAAAAAAAAGCCATAAGTACATTTACAGTTAGTTAAGCCATATAGAAATGAAAATAATTTATAATGGAAGAACAAGGCGTATTAATTATAGACAACCAGAAGTTAGAATAATTCACAGCTAAAGAACAAGGTATATTATATGGTTTATATATGGTTTATAGGTTTACCTGGTAGTTATAGTGCGAGCAAGAATGAACTGTTTTTAAATCATCAGTTGGACGGTCACAATAGTTACATTTACACAAGTATGGCCATATGTGATGCCAATTGTCCTCATTTATTTTTAAGTCATGTTTAATTTGTCTGAACTTTTTAACTACTTATCATGATGTAATTTTCTTTATATTTACATTTATATTGCATTGTTTACTGTTGCTTGGATGTCCGAAAATTGCACTGTTACATGTACCATTTTTTTATCTATAGCTGATCCGTGAACTGCGGTTTTCGACACAAAGTTTTTTTGGGTGAAATAGGCAAAGATCTGTCATCCCGTGACCTTATAATGATATTTACCTTTTCCACAAATAACAATGATCGCCAGTGCATGAAATTGTGACACTATGGTCAATAATGACTGGTTGGAGTGTCTACCACTCTCTCTCTCTCTCTCTCCGGGGGTGGGGTGGGGGGGGGGGTGGAATGGAGAGGTGGGGTTCATCTATCGATCACTAAGAAATACCCAACAACCATGATAATACCAGTGAGTTACACAAGGAAGGCTCTGCTACAACTATCGGGCATATCAAAGGCTGACTCCTCAGTTGGGTGATGACGTCACAGAACGCCAAGGACAGAGGAATAGTCAGGGAAATATCTGTAAATATCCAAAGAAAAATTTCTCCCTGTGACCCCAGTAGAGGGTAATGGTCGAAGGAGTCGATGGAGTTAAATGTTGCTGCCCAGCGTCCTATGTAATTATGTCGAAACTGATGTTGTTTCTATAATACGTGTGGTCACGTTCCAAGATTTTTATATATCTACACACTTAATTTATGCTGGTATGTAAAAGATAAAATCAGACTACCTTTTTATCAGAATGCTATGAGAGTCATATGTTAAAGGTTTTCAGTGAATTTCTACTTAAAAAGAAAGTTATTAAAACTCTCCTTCATTCCTGTTAGATTGCCAATAGGCCTACGACTGTTATTATTTTCAGTGTATATTTTTTAAACGGAATGGAAAAGAAAGAAACCTATGTACTAGTCGCTGTTCATTCAGTTCAAGAAAAAGAATGCAAAATAATATTGCTGCGATATATATATATATTTTTTAGTTTGGAGCGTGCAAGAGAAATTGTCGGAAAGTTAGGCTATAGCAAATTGCTGAGGGTCCCCTGCGTGCATAATTTGCCATCCCTCGCGCAAACACCTCGTCTACCACCCCTCTACTCTTGCGTGACAACTGCAGCACCAATGTCTTCTAAATTGATAGCAGACAATAGTGAAAAAAAAAACAGAAATTGGTGATGAAAAAAGGGGCGTAAGTCCTTTCACACACCTGTGGCTTCGTTTTCTAGCAGGGGCCTCTTTTCACTGCAATCTTTCATTTTATCTATTCTATTTTTTTTGCCAGTTAAAGCACCACATCATTCATTACCTTTGATACAGGACAAGCCAGGATCCTACCCGTCTCTGAGTCGTGGTTGGAGTAATGGCTTCTCTTGGGTAGTCTGACCAATCAGCGTGTCTGTGCTCGCAGTCAGGTGGTTAAGGGTCACTTTCATCCTCTGCTAGAGATCTGATATTCTGCTTTGGTTATTTTAGTATATTTTAGTTTATCAAAATGAAGATCCTCTCGATGTTTTTGCTTCTACTGAACATCTGCCATGAAAAGTTTTGTAAAATAGGGGAGACCGGGGCTAGTTGGACCCCGGGGTAAGTCCCCCCCCC